AGGCCAAGGCAGATGGATCTTGAGGTCAGGAGTTCAAGATCAGCCTGGCCAATATGGTGAAACCCCATCTCTACTAAAAATACAGCCTCCCAACTTGGGAGGCAGAGGCAGAGAATCCCTTGAACCTGGGAGGCAGAGGTTCCAGTAAGCTGAGATCGAACCACTGTATACCAGCCTGGGCAACAGAGCAAGACTCCACCTCAGAAAAAAAAACAAAAAAAACAAAAAAAACCTTATATACTCTAGTTTCAGCAAGTGCTTGTTAGTGACCCTAAATGTATTTTCCCCCTACTCTTCACTTTAGCACTGTTCCCTGTATTTGTCTGGCTCATGTCTCTGTGAGAGGTACTGAGTGAAGCCTGTTTCTTCTTTCATGAAATATTCTCTTCTCACTAAAGTACACACTATTAGATGACATTAACACATGACAGGACCCAGCACTTGTGTGCCATGCGTCCCTCATTTGTTCCATATCACTCTCTAGTTTCTGACATTTACCATTTCCTCTCCTCAACTCTGGCCTCTTCCTTCATCATCTACAGGACTGCCATCTTCTGACAAGATCTGCAGACCACCCCACGCTTCCCAGGGCTGACCCTCCAACCCAGACTCTTTCGTGCATCCTATGAGGGACTGTACTTAAGGACAGCTGGTAGTTGGTGAAGATCATTGGAATGATTTTCAAACTACTCAGAATCAGGTCACATTGAAAAATTGCACACATTACTGTATCATAATTAAATATATTCTCAAACCTTTAGGAAATGTAAAAAGAGTCACATAATAATAAACACAAATCATAATGTGAATAATAACATACGGGGTGCTATAATGATCTATGGTCAGCATCCCTCTGAGGTAGGCATTATTATCCTCATTTTATGGTTAAGGAAATTGGGGCTCAAAGAAGTCAAGTAATTTCCCACAATTACACAAGTAGGTGGAGGCAGGCTAGCAGCCCCTTTCTGTTCTACAGGACTCCAAAGCCTGATGCTCACACTCATTCTACTATACCTTCTCCCTTCAGTTCAAAACTTAAGGGTTTTAGACTTTTCAAACTCACGAGAACAATTTTAAGTATTAAGACTTTCCTCCGCTAATCAAGAACAATTTTAAGTATTAAGCGTTTCCTCCGCTTCATTCTGTTTCCAAAAAATATATACATCGTGTTAACTAATTATCAGCCCAACACGAACTCCTTATTGAAGCCTCTCCTCAATGTGACTCAGGATCGCACTGGCCTTGCCATCCAGCTCGCTTCTTCAGTTCTGACACCCGGTCGGGATTGTCATCTTCTTCCTCAAAGTCCCTGTGAAAAAACAGTTTGGACCATAAACCTTTACATTAGGGCCACAGTATCTGTTGATTAATTCAAAGCGGAACACCACCATAACAATATTTAAGCCTCTGAAAAATGAGTTCCATAATGCAACTGAAGGGAAAAAATTGTTAGTTCTTCCAAAAGAAGTGATCCTCCTCATCTAGCCCAGGCTCAAGTCACTCTGGATCCAAAATGACAGAATCATGACCTCCATCAACATTGTCTGATGCTTCTGTTTCTTCAGACGGGACGTTTCAAGAACCCTTCCGAACCTTCAGGAGATATGAACAGGTAATATACCAATTTACACAGTATTTACTTATTTCATACAGTTTGACTAAACTCCTCCACAAGCTTGCTGGCTAACTGAGGACAATGCCATGTCCCATAACTCTTTTGTAGTGTCTCCACACATTACCCAACACGACTGTGGGCATACCTCAGGCTCCTGAAGCAGAAGCACCAGGACATGAATTAAATTTATAAACAGTACTTTCTTTTTTCCTTTTTTTTGAGTCAGGGTCTCACCCTGTCACCCAGACTGGAGTGCAGTGGCATCATAGCTCAATTCAGCCTCGATCTTCCAGGCTCAAGAGATCCTCCTACCTTAGACTCTTAAGTAGCTGGGACTGTAGGTGTCCAGAACCATGCCTGGCTAATTATTTTAGTAGCGACGAGGTATCGCTATGTTGCCCAGGCTTATCTTGAACTCCTGAGCTCAAGTAGTCCTCCTGTGTCAGCCTCCCAGACGGCTGGGATTACAGCTGTGAGCCATCACATGCAGCCTATAAACATGATTTTCTTTAAGAAAAAAAAAACTTGGAAAGTTACAATAAAACCCTCCAAATATAAGAATGTATACTATGGAATTAAAAGTTACCTTTGGAAGTTGGATTATAGCAATTTCTTTTTTCCTCTCAGCTTTCCCCTCCCAAGTTTTCACAATGAGGGGGAAGAAAAGTAGGAAACTGAAGGAGGACTATGTGTATGCTTTTAAAACATTTTCCAGATAATTACTTTCAGATTTTCCACAAACAGCATGAAAACCTAACCTAAAAACATGGGCTGAATCTTATAAAAGGCATTTCAAAATAGAACTATATTTTTTGAACAGGGAGTTTCCTAAAATAACAAAACTTCATCACTAAACCAGACATAAAAACCAGGACCTAAAATTGCTAAACTGAAATTCATAACCATTAACCTTCCTTAACATCTTCCTCCCATGCATCAGCCTCTCCTTAGGGCTTTCATGATGTTTTGTGCTCTGCTCTGTTTGAATGCATATGCCACAGACCATGATAATTATTTATCAGTGTGCTGACCTCCCAGGTAATGAACTCCTTCGTCTTTAGGGCAGGAATTGTTTTTTTTTTTTTTTAAATTGTACTTTAGGTTCTGGGGTACATGGGCAGATCATGCAGGATTGTTGCATAGGTACACACTTGGCAATGTGGTTTGCTGCCTCCATCCCCCCGTCACCTACATCTGGCATTTCTCCCCATGTTATCCCTCCCCGACCTCCCCATCCCCCTGCTATCACTCCCTTGGCCACCTCCCGAAACAGACCCCAGTGTGTGATGCTCCCCTCCCTGTGTCCATGTGTTCTCATTGTTCGACACCCATCTATGAGTGAGAACATGCAGTGTTTGATTTTCTGTTCTTGTGTCAGTTTGCTGAGAATGATGGTTTCCAGATTCATCCATGTCCCTACAAAGGACACGAACTCAATGTTTTTTATGGCAGCATAGTATTCCGTGGTTTATATGTGTCACATTTTCCTTGTCCAGTCTATCATCAATGGGCATTTGGGTTTGTTCCAGGTCTTTGCTATTGTAAACAGGGCTGCTATGAACCATACGTGTGCATGTGTCTTTATAATAGAATGATTTACAATCCTTTGGGTATATACCCAGTAATGGGATTGCTGGGTCAAATGGAATTTCTATTTCTAGGTCCTTAAGGAAGCACCACACTGTCTTCCACAATGGTCGAACTAGTTTACACTCCCACAAACAGTGTAAAAATGTTCCTATTTCTCCACATCCTTTCCAGGATCTGTTGTCTCCAGATTTTTTAATGATTGCCATTCTAACTGGTATGAGGTGGTATCTCAATGTGGTTTTGATTTGCATTTCTCTAATAATCAGTGATGATGAGCATTTTTTCATGTTTGTTGGCCTCATATATATCTTCTTTTGTAAAGTGTCTGTTCATATCCTTCACCCACTTTTGGATGGGTCTGTTTGTTTTTTTCTTGTAAATCTGTTTTAGTTCTTTGTAGATTCTGGATATTAGCCCTTTGTCAGATGGATAGATTGAAAAAATTTTTTATCATTCTGTTGGTCGCCGGTTCACTCTAATGATTGTTTCTTTTGCTGTACAGAAGCTCTGGAGTTTAATTAGGTGCCATATGTCTATTTTGGCTTTTGCTGCCAATGTTTTTGGTGTTTTAGTCATGAAGTCCTTGCCTATGCCTATGTCCTGAATGGTTTTACCTAGGTTTTCTTCTAGGGTTTTTATGGTGTTAGGTCTTATGTTTAAGACTGTAATTCATCTGGAGTTAATTTTAGTGTAAGGTGTCAGGAAAGGGTCCAGTTTCTGTTTTCTGCACACTGCTAGCCAGTTTTCCCAACACCATTTATTAAACAGGGAATCCTTTCCCCATTGCTTGTTTTTGTCAGGTTTGTCAAAGATCAGATGGTTGTAGATGTGTGGCGTTGCCTCCAAGGCCTCTGTTCTGTTCCATTGGTGTGTGTATCTGTTTTGGTACCAGTACCATGTTGTTGTGATTACTGTAGGCTTGTAGTGTAGTTTGAAATCAGGTAGATGATGCCTCTGGCTTTGTCCTTTTTGCTTAGGATTGTCTTGAGGATTTGTGTTTTATTCTTTTTTTATCTTAACCTATATTAGGCGTTCAATATATTCACCAAATAAACAAATACAACTAAATCATTGCAATAAATATAGTCAGACTTGCCATACCATTACATGTTCTACTTGGTATAATTTATCTTAGATCTTAACCTAGCAAGGGGGCTTAGAAATTAAATTATCATAATTATAATATACATACACATATACATATCTAATGCAGACCATTGGCCTAGATTCCTAAGGATAGTATTGTAAAAAATTACACACTTTTAGCAAAAATGTCTGTTAAAAGAATTTAAAAATCAAATCCTAATTGTTCATCCTTTTTGAGCTTTATTCAATGTAATAGAGTTTAGGTATACAGAAGGAGAAATCTTGGAGTTGTTGCTAAGGCAATGGCATATCTGCATGATAAAAATGTGCTACTCTTCAAGGATAGTATAGCAGGATTATGAAAATAAGCAAACAAATGAGCAAATAGAAGTAATGTAGCTCCATGAAAAAATTTAATTGTAGCTTAAGACTAGATAGAAAAGATTAAAAAACACACAAAAATACAATGCTATGAATTATTCTATAACTTTGAAATCAGAGGGTTTCTGGGAGGAGAAACGCTTTGATTTTAGTTTCGGAAGGTGAGAAAATTTCTGTGGATGGATAGTGGTGATGGCTGCACAGCAGGGTGAAGCACTGAGTACCCCTGAACTGTGCACTTTAGAATGGTTCGGATGTACATTTTATGTTGTATCTTTTTACCACAATCTTCAAAAAGTGAAAGGGTTTCCTGGTCTATATATTGTGTATGTTTGAAATGCCAAGCTGAGGTCAGCATTCTGAAGGATGTTCAACAAAGTGCCAGGGGTCTCTTTGAGCCACTGCTTACGAGTAGTATTTTTGCTGTACTTTATTACAGAACCACCTAGTTGTGAAAAGACAAAAATTAGTGTCAAATAAAAAAAGATTTTTCAGCACATACCTTCCAGATCATATTTTCAAGCAAAGTTAATTATATCTGACTGTCAACTAAAATCTGCTTCACTTATCTGTGTGAGCAATGCTCTGATGTGTGAAGCCAAATACCCTTCACAGACAATAAAAACCTCTAGCGCACCAAATAACTACTAGAAAAAGTTCTCTAATAAAATAATAGTATTCAGTCTGACTACTAACCTCTACTGTCCTCTGCTATTAAACTGGAGGGTGTATGAATGTATTTTCTAAAGCTGTAAGAGCTGTATTAGGTACATTTTTCTCCCACTGTCACCTGTGAAGATTTGGTGAACTGGCTTTCCGCAGATGGACTGACGTATTACCTGATTTTAAAGTGTAAAAAAGGAGTGCCAAGAATGTTATTTTATGTATTCATCTCTGTCCACACATACACTCTAACAAAATGGAAGTGTTTATTTTTTCTTTCAAACTCAGATCTAGCAACAATGTTCTTTCAAATCTAAGCGGCAAAGGAAATTAAAAAAAAATCCAAAATGAAAAGTTAAAATGAATCGTTAATGTGACTAAATTAAAAAAATAATAATATGTATATAATTACATATTACACGTTATACAAGAAGGAAGCCCCATGAGGACTTAAATACACACAGTATGCTATACTTTTCATGTTGGATAGCACAAAAAATACTACTCTTCCTAGTGGCTTTTACTGATAAATACTATACTCTCTTATGTGGTAAATAAATAAAATATTCCTAAAACATTAAATAAGTTACTAGATAAGCAAATAAATACTGGCTTATACTCTTTGTTTATGATACCTGAGACCTAGTAACATAAAAATTGGTACTTCCTCCGTATTCCCCAACTCCTCATCTAAGAAATGAATTTGAATGACTTACCATTTTCTTCTCTGTTTACTCTTCTCAATGCACTTTCTTTTTTATTTTTTTTATTTTTTTTTTGAGATGGAGTTTCACTCTAGTTATCCAGGCTGGAGTGCAATGGCGCAATCTCGGCTCACCGCAACCTCCGCCTCCTGGGTTCAAGCAATTCTCCTGCCTCAGCCTCCTGAGTAGCTGGGACTACAGGTGCGTGCCACTGTGCCCAGCTAATTTTTGTATTTTTAGTAGAGACGGCGTTTCACCATGTTGACCAGGATGGTCTCGATCTCTTGACCTCATGATCCACTCGCCTCAGCCTCCCAAAGTGCTGGGATTACAGGCGTGAGCCACCGTGCCCGGCCTCAATACACTTTCAACTAAATTTTCATTAATGCTTTCCAAATCAGGATGGCTACACTTTCTGTCTTGTTCTTCCTCCTGCTTTAAAAGAAATTTAAAATACAGATTAAATAATGCTTGAATTGCTAAAAAAAAAAGGTAAACAAATATGCAAAGTCAGCTATTTTAATTTCAGATAAAAATGGATTAAAAAACATGACTAATCATAGAACCCCAAAGACATGTATATTAATAGCCATATATATCTGTATGTATTTAATAACATGTATATTAACCATAAACCTACATATGTGTATATATTAATAGACATACACATTCATAGCCATTAATATCAATGATTATAAGTATGAAGAGGATATATTAAAATGACAGATGTTTGGCAGGTCTTTATAAGGAAAAGAGTAATGAAAATTTCAATATGGTTTGCTAAATTGGGCTTTATGAACTATAATATCAAAATGAGATATTTTATAAAGTTGCCATATAGAGTCAAAATGTTCCCACTTAATTCAGTATCTTTCCAAATTACCTAAGCCCTTGATTTATTTCATGAAATATAATAATACACTATCTAGTTTACTGAATCTGCATATATTTTGAGGAGTACATATTGAATGTCTAAAAAGTCCCAGGCAAACAAATTCTCAATTATTTGTTGAATGAATCAATAACAGTAGGCTTGGCTGGCATGTTGGATTTTCATCTTTCTAAGCAGTGGTTCTCAAACTTCTCTTCCCACACATGTAGGGAACACAAAAATCTGTCACTTTTCAGCGATGGCTCACTTACTGCAGTGATTTCAAAGCCTCCTACACTCAAGATCGACATCAGAATCTTGAGGAATAGTGGTGAGGGGCAGCTGTGAAAAGCCCCCAGGGTACTCGAGTCTTTCCTTGCCATTGGGGATCACTGCTCTCTGCGTCTGCAGTGGCCTCCCACCGTCTTCTGGATGCTACTCAATCTGCCTTCATTGCCACCATCCTTTCCTAGCCTGCACACAAGTTTTCCTGCCTCAAGTCCTTCATGCCCTGACTGACTTTTTGGCCTTTTCTCCATTCTGTTTACATGTTGCACCCTTTTCATTTTGTGAGCACATATTGCTGTGTTCACTACAGGTGGTATCAAATTATAGCGCGTGGACACAGATCATCTGCAGAGGGGCACAAGGAAGCATTTTAGGGGATAGAAACTCTTTTGTTTTTTAGACAGGGTCTTGCTGTGTCACCCAGGCTGGAGTGCAGTGGTGCAATCATAGCTCACTGCAGCCACACTCCCAGGCTCAGGCAATCCTCCTGCCTCAGCTTCCCACAGGCATGTGCCACCATACCCAGCTAAAATTTTAATTGTTTGTAGAGATTGGGTCTCACTGTGTTGCTCAGGCTGGTCTCAAATTCCTGGCCTCAGTTGATCCTCCTGCCTCCACCATCCAGCCACTCTGCCCAGCCTGGAGGTCCTATATGATGACTGTGGCAGGGGTTATATGGACATTTAAATACCATCATCAAAATTTATCAAATTGTGCATAAAAATGTGTAAATTTTGTGGCATGTAAATTATAACTTAAAAAGCTGGGAAAAAACAGACACTACAATGAAAAGAAAAAAAAGTACAGAGGCCTGTATTCCATTTGTAGCAACATAATGGTGGGATGTTATTTATTTATAACCTATGGTTCATTTAAAAAATTTACAAGTTTAATTACTTGTACATTCCGTGAAGAGAGTAATTGGTTGTCAATACAACATCTTTTCCTTTTCTAATTAAAAGTTTAGGCCAGGAGAAATGGCTCACACCTGTAAATCCCAGCACTTTGGGAGGCCAAGGCAGGAGGATCACTTAAGCTCAAGAGTTCAACACCAGCCTGGGCAACGTGGTGAGACCTCATCTCTAGAAAAGCTAAGAACTAATAGGAATTAGCCCTGCAGTTGTTGTTCTATGTAATAAACTATTGCTGAACAAGTGGGACAAGTTATTTGACCATTTTTTGTTCATATTTTTAAAAATATCTTGAAAAAATGTAGGGCAAAGTCTATGTTTTCATGATATTTCAGTTAGGAAACTCATAAGTGAAATCTAACTGCAAAAAAGCTGAGGAAATAAATGATGCAGGCACTCTTACAAACTTTGGTGCTTCCTCAAAAAGCAATATACAGTTACTGACCCAGCAGTTCCACCACTAGATATATACCTCAAAATTTGGAATCAAGGAGACCCTAGCAGGTACACCATGGTTCATAACAGCATTATTTACAATAGCCAAAAGATGGAAACAACCTAAGTGTCCATCAATAGATGAATGGATAGGCCAGGCACAGTGGCGCACACCTGTAATCCCAGCACTTTGGGAGGCCAAGGCAGGTGGATCACCTGAGGTCAGGAGTTTGACACCAGCCTGGTCAACATGGGGAAAATTCAAAAAAATACAAAAATGTCTCTAGTTAAAAAAAAAAAAAAATTAGCTGGGTGTGGTGGCATGCACCTGTAGTCGCAGTTACTTGGGAGGCTGAGGCAGGAGAATCACATGAACCCAGGAAGTGGAGGTTACGGTGAGCTGAGATCACACCACCGCACTCCAGACTGGACAGCAGAGCAAGACTCCATCTCAAAAACAAACAAACAAACAAAACCTAAAGAGATAGTAGTGATGGTTGCATAACACTGTGAATGTAATTAATGACAATGAATTGTATATTAAAAATGGATAAAATGGCAAATTTTACATTTATTTCATCAAAGTAAAAAATTAAGAATAGCAAAAACAAAGAAAAGAGAAAAAGAGAAAGAAAAAGAGAGAAAGATTACATATTGCACAGCAAAACTAAATAATGGGAATTTCCTATTAGTAGATCCTACAAAACTAGCTCAGGGCAGATGTCTGCACTGGAAACATATATAAAATTTTATAATGACTTCATCCTAGGGAAGCAAACTACCAACTAGAATCTGTCACCTTATTAGGACTCAGCTAGATATGACAAGCTGCCTTTTCCGTTTTGCATGCCATACTTACTGGATGCCTAAGGGTACAGAGTTCATACAGAATGCATCCTAAGGACCAGATGTCACTAAAAGCATAAAGAAGCAATGTAATAATAAGTGGGTTATGTATCTTCTAATATAAAAAAATTTTCTTACCTTTAATAGGAATAGATATCACAAGTAATTCCTAGGTATTAAAATAAAACATATAATTTTGCTCTAACACTTAGATACTTCCTAAGAGTAATGTTCACAATAAAACTCTCTGCTCTTCAATCCCCACCCCTTCAAATCAGGGTGGCTGACATATCACTTCAGTAGTATTTGGGAATTCAGTAGCAAGAGAGAATATTTGCGGACTCAGATGACCGCAGCTGGAAGGACTCTGGAAGGCATCCAGTGAGCTTCCACTCCGACCACCCTGGATGCAGCACCCAGCCTTTGATCACATCTCCTGCTGGGCAGCTTTCAACCTCCTGCACAGTCTGCTCCCCTGCTGGATGGCTCTCAGGGATAGTGTTCTTCCTTTTCAAAAGCCAAAATGTGTCTCTGGGAACTCTCTCCACCCCCAGAGTTAGCTCTATGTTCCAAAACAAAGAGACCAAGACTACTAATTCTTCCACAAAATAGCTCTTCAAAATTCAGAGTTTTATAGTTGGCCTCATACCCTGCACTTCTTCATGCTAAGCCTCTCCACGTTCCACCACCAATTTGTCATCCTCTAGACTTTCCCTTTTTTTTTTTTTTTTTTTTTTAAGGGATGGGGTCTCCCTGTGTTGCCCAGGCTGGAGTGAGTGGCTGTTCACAGGCATTATGTCACTACACTGCAGCCTTGGAACTCCTGGGCTCAAGCAATCCTCCTGCCTCTGCCTCCCAAGTAGCTGGGACTACAAGCACATACCACCACGCCCAGCTCTTCCAGACTTTTCTACATGATATATATTTTTTTAATTAATGGTTTTTAATCAACTGTTTCCCCTTTTAGTTTTTTAAAATTTCAAATCAACAGAGAGGTTGCAAATGTCCACATGCCCTTATCTAGGTCCTGCAATCATTCCCATTGGCCATGTTTGCATGCCAATCTCCCTCCTCTATATCTATCTGAACCTCCCGAAAAAAGGTTACAGGTATCAAACACCTCATCCCTATACACATCAGCATGGTATCTCCTAAGAACAAAGACGTACCCTTTCCCTCAGAAACACAACACTGTTACCACATCCAAACAATTTAATCTCAATTCAGTAACATTATTTAACATTTACTGCATACCCAAATTTCCCCGGTTGTCCCAATAAGACCCTGTAGAGTTGTTTTGTCCCCATTCAGTCAATTCTACTTTTAAAGAAACCTATTTAGTATAGACTGTCATACCCTTTTCAGAAAGCAAGTCAGCAAAAAGTAACACAGCCTTTAGGTGTTTCTACTTCTAGGAATCCATGCCAAGAATGTGACACAAAACAAGGACATATTTATATACAAAAAGGTATGTTACTCACAGCACTGCTTATGATACTGAAATCTAGAAATATAAGGCCAACAACAGAGGAATTACTAAGTAAATTTTGGGAGGGCCATATAGTAAAATAAAGGCAGTCATTAGAAAATTTATGAAGAGTTTAAGTATGTAGGGAAATGATTATTATGATATTAAATGACAAAAGCAAATTATACATAAAATATATCAACTAGTTTTAGGGAGGAAAAGTGAATGGATGAAGAAAAAAATATCAAAATGTTATTAGCAGTTGGGAAATGTAGGTGATTTCCATGTCCTTTCTTACAGGTCTACTTCCAATCTTCCCTGCACATCCATCCCCACGATGGGCACATATAACTTATGTTCAGAAAAAATACTGCATTTTAAATCATTAAGATCTTCTAGGTATTATAGTCTTATGGGACCACTGTCATATATGCCATCTGTTCAGAATCAATTTATCTATCAACCAAGTGCTTAAAATCTAGCCCTGTAAATACTAACTCAATGACACAATCTATTGATTCTCAAATGTTGCTGTATATTAGAATTAACCAGTGATCTTGAAAAATTACTAGCGCCTGCTCCCCATCCTTTGTCATTTTGATTTAATTAGTGTAGACACAACCTGGGCTTTGGGATTTCTTTTCTTTTTTTTTTTTAAATAAGACAGGGTTTCACCATGTTGGCCAGGATGGTCTTGATCTCTTGACCTCGTGATCCGCCCGCCTCAGCCTTCCAAAGTGCTGGGATTACAGGCATGAGCCACTGTGCCCAGCCAGCTTTGGGATTTTTTAAAGTGGGAGCAGCGAAGTTTGGGAACCGCTGATATAATTCATACCATCCCTAGAAATGACTAGCCTTTCTTTTAGCATTTGCTCCTCTCAGCTACAATTAGTAGCAATTTGAAAACTATTACTTTCATCTAGCAGCCTAGAAATATACATTAGCAATATAGATTCCACACTGCTTTCAGATATACTTTTTAGAAAGCAAATGATCCATGCATCTGCTTTGAAGTGATGTCAGAGTGTAGCATCATTTGCAGGCTACAATGCCTGTCACCAAATGGGCACCCTTGCAGCAGATATGCACCACTCACCTTTTATTGTTATAAGGCAGGTTTTCCCAAATTTCTGGAGGCACATAATAAGGTGTTCCCACATATGTACAAGCAAATGCCATCGGACTAAAACCATAAAAAGGCAAAGAATGGTTACAGAGCATTCCTGAAAATGGATGTCCTGATCACTGTCACTACCCTAGGACAGAGATACACACTTGGAGAGAAGACAGACAAATCCAAAGTCTTCCAATTTCACTTTTCCATTTTGAGTGAGGACGACATTCTTCATTTTAAAAAGAAGAACTCAGATTATGTTTTCCATCATTGAACATGAGGCAGATAAACTGTCTTCCAAAGCCTGCTGATGATGGAGATTAAGGGTAGAAATGCTGACAGCTGAGTCCCAGAGTGAAACACGAAACATCAAGATCCCCTCTTGACAGCTACACATTCCCCTGCTTGGAAACTCAGGATGAGTGCTTTGAAATCTAACAAGCAAGTTTTAGGTTGTATCAGCAGACCCAATTGACCCAGTGAGAACCTGTGTCAGGGTGATGCCACATGGCAGGCCCAAGTGTCAACTGTTTTTCATCTGAGAACACATGGACTTAGCAAGTAGTCACTAAAAGAGAGCTAGGACACATTAACATACACAGTCACGTGCCACATTTCAGTCAACAACAGATGGCATATATGACAGTGGTCCCGTAAGACTATAATACCATATTTTTACTGTACTTTTTCTACATTTAAATACACAAATACTTACCACTCTATTACAATTGCCCAAGGAATTCAGTACAGTAACATGCTGTACAGGTTTGTAGCCTAGAAGCAACAGGCTACACTCTATAGCCTAGGTGTAGTAGGCTATACCATCTAGGTTTGTGTAAGTGCACTTTACGATGTTCACATGACAAAATCACCTTATGATGCATTTCTGAGTACTTATCTCCCTGTCGTTAAGTGATGCATGACTGTACTACTACAGAGATTTCAATGACTTTTTCTCAGGTATTACCTTATTTGGTTAGCATAAATATTAAGTCAAAGGGTACAAAGTTTCAGTTAGGACAAGTAAGTTCCAGTGATCTGCTGTACAACATAGTGACTACAATTAATAATAATGCATAGAATACTTAAAAAGTGCTGAGAGTAGATCTTAAATGTCCTCACCACAAAAAAAAATATGTGAGGTGATAGAGATATATTAATTACCTTGATTTAATAATTTTACAATGTGTGTATGTATATATATAAGTATATAAAACATGTGTACATCATAAATATACATAATTTTTGTAAATTATATTTTAATAAAGGTGGGGGAAATTTTAATTTGAAAAACAAATATTAGACTGACAATTTTTTTTTTTTTTTTTTTTTTGAGACAGAATCTCGCTCTGTCACTCAGGCTGGAGTACAGTGGTGCAATCTCGACTTACTGCAACCTCTGCCTTCCGGGTTCAAGTGATTCTCCCACCTCAGCCTCCTGAGTAGCTGGGATTACAGGCATGCACCACCATGCCTGGTTAATTTTTGTATTTTTAGTAGAGACAGGGTTTCACCATGTTGGTCAGCTGGTCTTGAACTCCTGACCTTGTGATCTGCCCTCCTCGGCCTCCCAAAGTGCTGGGGTTGCAGGTGTGAGCCACCGCGTCTGGCCTTAAATATTTCCAAATTAAACAAAAGTGTCCCAAAATGCATGGGATAACACAGCAAAATGAATTAAATAGTTTATTATTATTATTATTATTATTTTTTATCACCCAGGCAGGAATGCAGTGGCACAATCTTGTCTCACTGCGACCTCCACCTCCCAGGTTCAAGCAATTCTCCTGCCTCAGCCTCTGGAGTAACACAGGGTGCCTGACATTGCGCCCAGCTCATTTTTGTATTTTTAGTAGAGACAGGGTTTCACCATGTTAGCCAGGTTGATCTTGAGCTCCTGACCTCATGATCCATCCACCTCAGCCTCCCAAAGTGCTGGGATTATAGACATGAGCCACCACATCCCGCCTAGTTTTAAGTCCAAAAATGTGCTCCACTCACCTTGGACTTGATATCTCTACGTAGCACACATTTCCTGTGAATGTGATTTACTCCAAGGCACATCTGGCTAAACCAATTAAGTATCTGTAAGAAAAAAGTATGCAAAGTCTTCAAACATGCAGTAACTGACTCATGTGAACCTAAAATTTCAAAGAATCATGTCTAGGCCTTAGTCGACCAGGATTTTACATAATGTGAGTACAGACTCCTGTAAGTTACATAGTTCAACTAAGATTCAGTGTTACTTGGAGAAATTCAGAAAAGCCGTGATTTCCATTTTCCATCATCTTATGTGTGATCCAAATAGCAATTTATTTGAGCAAAACTTCCACTAGTTTTCTTATATTCAGCCAAATAAAAGTATTTCTTAAATGCTTATATAAAGGTAGTTCACCAATAAGAAATATATTACAGCTTTTCTAGTGTTACCATTATATTGGATTTTCATTTACTTTTGCAGAATATCCATATAAGATTTCACTATATTATAAATAATCCTTCAAGGTCAACATTTCCTGCTTATAAATCCAAGGGTCACAGTATCCAGAATTTCTAGGTGTCTTGGGGGCCTACTATTAAATGTCAAACTGATCTTTTTTTCACTTTTGCTGTGGAGATTCTTCCAGTTAAAGCCAAGGTTGAATTCCTTATTTTTAACAATACAATTTCTAAATGAAGAATATGTATTTACATTTATAACATGCTATAACCTAAATCAAACTAAGCCTCATTGGAGCAATTTAAATATTTTCCATAGACAATTCATTAAAAAATATTTAGTATGCAATTTTCCACAAAAGGCAGCAAGTCTTAGACTGAAGGGACCACTTCAAGCTTTAGAAGGAAAAAGATTGACAATAGGTACTCCCAAGAAACAGAAATGGCAAGCTTCATTCTTCTGATTTCAGTAAAACAAAATAAAATAGATCTGGCTTCTAAAATTTCAGTACGATAAAAATCAAGGTTTTAAATATCTAGTATAAAATTTGGTGATAAAATCTTGAAATTATTCTAAACATGTTTTTCCTTAATAATTTATAACCTATAGATTTTACTTCCTAAAACCATTTCAGGCAGCAGTATTCTGAGGACACTAAATGGTAACACCAATGCAGAAATCAGTCATTTCTATCTACCTTCTCGAGTAATTACAGATATCAATGCTTTTAACTTATACAAAGTTTATGAGAAAAGTGGCTTCCACACCTTGAGAGAAGCTATGTAAGTCAATCTCTTACCATGTCTTCAGGAAATAACTTTCCTTTTTGCTGTTTAATCTTTTGCATTAGATCCCCTCCATCACAGTATTCCATCACAATATACAAGTGTCCTTCAGCTAAAATAGACACAAGCTCTTTAGAAAAGCTGTAGTGGCTACAAATCAAATTCAGAAATGAACATATCTGGGGGAATTCGTATTTACCTTCAAAAGATTCTTTGAAGGCAACAATATTGGGGTGTTTCATTTTGGCTAAAAGAACAGCCTCCTTCCTAGAATTCTGTGTATTGGAGAAAAACTAGAAAAACATTTTTAAAAAGCACAAATTTAATACTGTATTTTAAAATAGATAACTTTATAATAATATAGTTTATATTATACTTCAATGCTAGATCCAGTTTTATAACATTTTGGCTCAACTTAAGTTTGTCAAATGACAAGAGAAAACTTGCCTGGTGATTTTTCAACTCTGGCTATATTTTCATGCTTGAGCTGACCCCTTCATTATATTTTTATTTTCTTTTTTCATTCCTTACACAGTCAGAATGTTAAATAGTTTTAATATCAGCCTAAGCATCATCTGACTTAGAGAGCCAGTATACCATCAAAAATAGTATACCTTTTTCTTGATAACTTGTAATATAGAAAAAAAAGAAAAAGAAACTTTTTTATCCTAAAAGAAAAAAAGGGGGGATTTCATGTTTTGACTGTCTGCATCACTTATGAGTCCACTGGTCCAGATAAAAAAATAATATGCGGGTGTATTACTGCATCAAGGATGAACAAAGATGGCATGCAAAGTAAGTTTCCAAAACTGTTTATCCCTAATTTATTCTATAAGAGTGAAATTCTGAATGATTTATCTTACAATCAAGAAATTGCTGGCCAGGCGTAGGGGCTCACACCTGTAATCCCAGCACTTTGGAAGGCCGAGGTGGGCGGATCACCTGAGGTCGGGGGTTCGAGACCAGCCTGACCAACATGGAGAAACCCCATCTCTACTAAAAAAATAAAATTAGCTGGGTGTAGAGGCACATTCCTGTAATCCTAGCTACTTGGGAGGCTGAGGCAGAAGAATTGCTTGAACTCGGGAGGCAGAGGTTGTGGTGAACCAAGATTGAGCCATTGCACTCTAGCCTGGGCAACAAGAGCAAAATTCCATCTCAAAAAAGAAAAAAGAAAAGAAAGAAATTGCCATTGTTAGTTGGGTATGGTGGCTACCCTTCCCAGTGGCGGGGGACTACGCTATACCTATAGTCCCCACCACTGGGGAAGCTGAGGTAGGAAGATCACTTGAGCCCAGGACTTCGAGCTGCAGTGAGCTATGATCATGCCACTCCATCCAGCCTGGGCAATAGAGCAAGACCCCTTCTATAAATTTAAAAAAAGAAAAGAAACTGCCATTGATTGTGTAGTAACACATGGGTTCTCAGACCAGCAGCAGCAGCAGCACCAACTGGGAATTTGTTAAACATGCAAATTCACAAGCCCACCTGGACCTACTCAGTCAGAAGCCTGGGGGTGGAGCACAACAATCTGTGTTTTAACAAGCCCTCCAGATGATTATGATGCCCACTCAAGTCTGAAAATCACTGAACGAAGTCAAGAATCCAGTGGGAAAAGAATGCCTAGCACTCTGAGAACTTTATTAGAATGTATTTTTTTTAAAAATGATCCAAAATATTATTAGTCTCCATGTAGTGAATTCTTTCATAGGACAACTATGATACACAGTAATAGTCTACAAAGAAATAAAACCTATAAACTGATCCACACAGTAGGTTTCCTGGTATCAAAGGTTAGCCTTTGTTCTTCATTGTCTTTTTATGATCCTTTTTCATTAATATTGCACCTGAGTTGCTTTGGCAAAGATTTCCTACACCATTAGGTATACAAAAGTGGAAATTATTACCAATTATTTGCTGAAATAAAGTTATCAATAATCACCACCAAAACTTTTATTACTTTTCTCCCATTGTTAATTATAATATCCTAAGAAGCACATATAATGTATCTAGCCCTTGTAAAGCTAACAAATAAACCAATTACATCTTTTGCATGAAGGAGAGATTCCATGTTAAATCTCAAAAATAAATTTATTTATTTATTTAGAGATGGTCTTACTTTGTCACCAAGGTTGGAGTGCAGTGGCGTGATCTTGGTTCATTGCAACCTCTGCCTCCTAGGTTTAGGTGATTCTCCTGCCTTAGCCTCCCAAACAGCTGGGACTACAGGTGCATACCACCACACCTGGCTAATTTTTAAAAATTATTTTTACCAGAGATGGGTTTTCCCTGTGTTGCCTAGGCTGGTCTCAAACGTCTGACCTCAGGTGATCTGCCCACCTCCACCTCCCAAAGTGCTGGGATTACAGGTGTGAGCCACCGTGCCTGGCAAAAAACTTATTCTTTTATACAAATTGGGTGTATACTTTCAAAGTGAGCTAACTTCTTTAGTAGTGACCTTGTGAAGCCTTATTTCTTTCATAGCAAACATCTGATTACTGCTTTCGTGCTGAAACAAAAGAGCTCTGCCGAAGGAGCCCTCCCCAGTCTCTCTCAGGACCATGTAGTCATCCACGCTGGGGCATCCATACAGCTGGGCTCCACTTGCACAGTCACATGGGCTCTCCCAAGCTGCATTCAAAAGCAGAAACAGCTGAGAATTAAACGTACTTTCAAAAAGCAGAAATTAACTCAAAGTTGCTCTCATAACCATGATAAGAAACAAGCAACTTGTTCCTTTTGAAGAGGATCAGCATATGCCATCCCTAAATATTCCACTTTTGTGTAAGAATTGTTTTGAGCTGAAACCATTTTGCTCTTTGCCCTCCCTTTTTTGTATAAATGCAGGGCATAAAATGTCCTATGTATAGGTAATAAATATCCATTTGTAAATGTGTCTTCCTCTCCAGTACCAGGAAAAGGAGAGCAACCCTTACTAATGGGGAAGGCACCAACCTGAGTCCACATAACAAACCTTACTGAATAACCCTTATCTTCTGCTAGCTTCCCCATATATTTACCTTCCTACAATTTACCCAAGAAGCATTCCCCTACCTTTGTCTAGTTATTTTCCACAATTTTCACTCTTTGTTAAAATGGCACATGAGCCCCCGGTCTAACCACTTCTTTACATTTATGCATAAATCTTTTTTCCTGTTAATATATCTCTCGTCAGTTTATTTTGCAGGGCCCAGCCACTGAACCTAAGAGGGTACAGAAAAAATGTTTTTCCTCCTCTATACTATTCATTCAACAGGTAGACACTGAGCACCAACTCTGAGTCAGATGTTAGAGTCTGAACAAATCTCTCATGGTCCCTGCCATCGTGGACATCCAATGCAGGGAGACAACCACAAGCCTCAACAAATGTAGGCTATTTAAGCTGAAGCCTGAAGGAGGAATGAAAGTTGGCTAGACGAAGGGGAGGAAAAGAATAATCAAGGAAGAGGAAATTGCATATTTAAGAGCTAAAGAGATTACATTCAGTTCAAGAAATTGAAAAAATGTAACAGGCTGCTGAAGCATTTAACCAAGAAGGCAATGTAATCATGTTTGCATATTAGAAGAAACATTCACTCAGATGGCAGATTAAATGGACCAGTGGAGGAGAGGCAGGAAGGCCAGCTCAGAGATGTAGGCCAGTTTGGAGGCTTCAACAATAGAAAAGGCAGGAAAATAATGAAATGGAATAGGGTGGAGGCAATGGGCCAGAAAAAATGGCAAGGAAAGATGTCAGAGGAGTTGACAGGATTCTTGGTGTCAGATTTATGGGGGCAAGCAGAGAAGGGGCAAGGTTGACTCCCAGGTTTCTGGCATGAACTGGGTGGTTTCTGGCACTCCCTGAGAGAGGAAACGCACTATGGTTGTGTGTGTGTGGTTTTTTGTTTGTTTGATTTTCCTGGCAGTGGGAGTGCAGGTTGGGGCAAAACATGGGGGGAAGAGAGACATGTGTTTCATTTTGGACCTGCTGAGTTAGGGGCTCCTGGGAGTCAAGAGACATGTTAAACATACAGTTGGAGTCCTTGACTTCAGTCTCCTCATCTATATTTTCAGGGTGAAGCAGCTTATAGGACTGCTTAGCACATAAGAGAAAATGGATAAAACTTTCCTAACACTTTGCCTGGTACATAGAAGGTCCTGAATAACTGGCAGCTATTATGATTACTAAAACCTTAGAAAAGTGATGCATTCTTCATGAGGTCAGGAGTTCAATACCAGCCTGACCAACATGTTGAAACTCCGTCTCTACTAAAAATACAAAAATTAGCTGGGTGTGGTAGCACGCACCTATAGTCCCAGCTACTCAGGAGGTTGAAGCAGGAGAATTACTTGAACCCGGGAGGTGGAGTTTGCAGTGAGCCAGGATCATGCCACTGCACTCCAGCCTGGGCAACAGAGCCAGGCTGTCTCAAAAAAAAAAAAGAAAAAGAAAAGTGATGCATTCTCTTTCATTGCAGGGAAAACACTGGAATGAATTTACTTATTTTTCAAAAAGCTTATAGTGTTTGTTTTCTAATCATATCACAAAGAATTATAAGGCAGAAAGGGCATGACAGCCAAAGCAAAAATCAAACTAAAACCTCTGCTACAGTGACCTGTAAAACTTGCAGTTTGTATTCCTGCTTATCACAGAATTAATAGGAAATCCTAGAAATAATCTCTTCATATAACCAAATCATACACATTGTCTTCGAAACAATTTTTTTTCCAAGAACGATGAGGTCTTTGAATGTATATAGACGTGAGAGAAACAAGCCCTTTTACCTCTATTCTAACACCTGGCATTACACGATTTCACATGGAAGCCAAATTTCCCCATGTTATTATTTTTCATTTCTTCGGGGCTTTATTGTGTGCAACGGAGAGTAACTAAAAAATAAGAGCAACCAGACTTCTTAGCTGAAAATCACATTTGATCTTTTCTGTCCACATTTGCCTGTTACTCAGTATTACACCTATATGACCATTACAAGACCGGAATAACTCCGAACGTGGCAAAATTCAGATGCCTGCAACTTCGCATGCCTGCAACAATGGTTTTAAAAACCCTGATAGATTTGCAAATACCCAGAAGTGGGATCACCGGTGAGACATGGGCTAAGTTCAGAAAGTGCCCTGAAACCACCTTTGCGGATTTATAAATAATGAGAGAAATCTAGCATGACTGACTCCATCTTGCTTCTAACCTCACAGGCTAATAAGTTACTGTGTTGTTTTCTTATTCTAGCACAGAGGCTAGGATACCTACGAGAGGGATTTTGTGTAAACTTGGAGGTAAAGGAAACTGACCCCACCCCCTTCCTGGGAACCCCTGAAACCTCTCCGAGTTGCAGAGGCTCCTGTGATTTCGTTCCCAGACTGCCAATTGTTTCAGCTCCCCAGCGCCCTGCCGCCAAAATACTCTTTAAAACTCTGGCCCCGGAATTCGAGGGGAGACAGGTCTGAGGTTCCCGGAGTAGCCGGGCCTAGGAAGAGCACGTTTTAAAGCTGCTGTTCCACGTTGCAGTGAAACAATGCTAATAATATTGAGGGAAAGTGTCCCCCACTAAGTAGCTGAGTTCTGTCTGCAGTTTAAGTGAAAGTCTATGTAGATAAGTTTCACAGGCACAGCACTCAGTGCTAGCTAGTATGTACTAGCTGCGTGACCTTGGGCAAGTGTGGAAGGCAGAATAATGCCCCCACCTCCATCCCTCAGGATGTCTACATCCTACTCCTTCGAACCTGTGCCTTTGTTCTCTTGCTTGGCAAAGGGGAATAAGATTGCAGATGGAATGAAGGTTGCTAATCAGCTGACTTTAAAATAGGGAGATGCTCTTGGAGTATGCAGGTGGGCCCAAGGTAATTGCAAGGGGTCTCTAAAGTGGAAAAGGGCCCTAAAAGGTGGTCAGAATCAGAAAGCTATTTGAAGGTAGAGGAAGGGGCAACAGCCAAGGAATGCAGCTGGCCTCAAGTAGTTAGAGGGGCAG